TTACTTTTGAAAGTGAATTTGGATCTAATTCTCTCAATTTTGTATAGTTTTCAAAAATGTTATAAAAAATTGTAAATTTTTCATTATATTTAGTACCTTCTCTAATAGAAACCTTTTTATTCGAAAGAAGAAAATCTTTTCTAGTAAACAGCTAAAACAGCATAGTTATCAAGATAGTGCACTTTGAATTTTGGAATTATCTAAAATTAATTAAATAGAATCCTGCATACTTTTAGAAAACTGTTGTCAGAGCGTTCTAAAAGCAACAGATCTTTCTTCATGCTTTATTTCCATAGAAATATAATCATATTTTAAATACTTAAGTGAAATAATTGTAAATATATTTTGAAATTTAATGATAGATTCTATTGTAAAATTCTATTTCTTAATTTAAAGTTTTTTTGTTTAATATATGAATTAAATAAGATAATTTACGACCTCGATAATCCAGGAAAAAAAAGTAAATGCTTATAATCACTGACTATGGCAGATTCAACCAAAAATTATTCATTGGAATACCATTAAATTCTAATTAACTTAAGAAATTAAAAAAGCCTTTACTTATTAGTATACAAAACCATCTCTCAAACATAAATCTTAAAAGTGAAAATGTATTTTTTTTTAATTGTATAGAAAGGATGATATGAAAATGTTGATCATACATTTGTACCCTTTAATAAATGGTGTGTGGAAGGTGGAGATGCAAGGATATTTTATATTTTTATTTAATATGATTTCTTTCATCTTCACTTACAAAAATAATTAGATCTTATATGCTAATTACAATTAAAAATAATAAACTTTGATCCAAACATTTGATTATAGTTTTATTTACTTTCTTATAGTATCCATATCAATACCAGTTATAAATAAATTAGAATGTTCAATAAAATTCAATGAAAAACATTTTTTTTAATTTTCAATAAACTAAAAAAATTCTCAATTCGAATATATAAATTACTATTAATACTATTGTTGCTTATATTATACTTATAATTTAATTCCTCCTAGTTTTTATATTTTATATCTATTTCTACTCATCAATCAACTTTCTTACCATTTTATTTTCATCTTTATTAATTACTTAACTTCATCCAAATCAATCCACTTCACCTATCGTAATTCTTTCATCATATAACCCATTAATTTATTTCTCTCATACCTCTACTCTATATTCCTTTGTATATCAACTTTATAACTAGAATCCTTTCTAGATTTATCCTAAAAATATTTATTAAGTATTTGCCACTATAAGGACGACAATCAATAGCCATCTAATTTTCTTATATAAAACGAATAATTATAAGTAATTTTGATCGTTATAATATAGTTCATTTTTTAATTTAGTTTCAAAATCTCTTCCTCAGATGACTATGAATGAATTTCTTCAATTTAGTTAATTAAATAAAGTAAAATTTTTTTAATAAATTAGAATTCATTCAAAATTTTTTCAGCTTGACTATGATACTTACCTTTTGAATTGTTGGATAAGTATAATCCATAAAAAATAAATAAATAATGATAGATTCATATTCTTGATATTAATTAGAAGTAGTTGCTTGATATTATACTATTCTGCTTTATAAATCAATATTCAACTTTTTTTAATGAATTACCACTCTAAAAAATATTATAAATTTTATTATTTATTTTAATAATTTTATATTTTCCCTTTAAATTTTACTAAATTCCTAATATAGGTTAGTTTGTCAAGAAATTGTTAGGGCAATTTCTTGAGGTAAAATGCAAAATTATTCAAACTCTTTGCTCTCAATTTTTCAAAACTCTTATAGTTATATTATTAATTATTCTTTGAAGTGATTTTTAATTTCTTACCTCTCTATTGATTTTAATAATTATGTATAATTTTTAAAATAATCAAAACATAATGCTTTTTTCTTTTCTACATTACACTTCTATCTTGATCTCTCTATTCTTCCATTATCATTTAATATATTGGATCTCTTGTGCTATCTGGTATAGTTCTAGAAATGAATTCGAATTAAATCTCTTATTCTAGAAGTAATATTTCTTTCTTTTTTATCTCAAAATTTTAGGCTCTATCATACTTTACATTAATCGAGCTTTACTGTCCTCGTTAATTCTTTCTCTTCCTTTTACACTCTCTATTTATATAATCAAATAAAGGTTCTTTAAAAAATCATCGAACTGGATTAGCGTCGAATTTATCATTTAGCTTTATAATAAATCTGTATTATTTATCATCTAATGGATTTTATTAAATTTTCATTTTCTTTCTTACTATTTGTACAGTAATAAAACAAATCCATTATCAATTTTATTTATTGCTCAAAATTTAGTGTTTTCTATAAAATTCTTTTTATTCTTCTTATATTTTGTAGATTTTTCCTTTAATCTATAAATTTATTTAAATCTATATATTTATCAGCTTTTTGCAATAATTTATTTAAGGGTTCTTCTACACTTTCTATAGATAATTAATTATTTTTCTTCTGATTTACATTTAGAAGAATTTCCATAAAATCTCTTTATTAGCAATAAAATTATCAAACAATCAATTTCTTTTTGGAAAATCTTTCATTTCTCTTTTTTATTTTATTAAATATCTTTTCTAATTGACTAAAAACAAATTTGACTAAAGAGATGTTTCTTCACTCTCAAACGATTTATCATATTTTTTCTTTTTGATATTATTTTTAATTTTAAGATATTAAATTTATTTGGTTGTCAAATGATTAATTTAACAATTCTTTAAAATAAGATTTAGATATTGGTTCTAATTTTTAACAATAAACTTCGAATTCAAATAAAACCAATTTTCAAATGGAATATTTTCATTAATATTGCTAAAAGAAATAATTTATCAAACAATTTAATTCTTGTTGCTTATCTAATTTTAATTGATGAAATTAATGTTATTAATGATTTATAAGACTCATCAAATTCCTTACATCCTTTAACTGATTTTAATAAATTTTACACATAATTATCATCTATATTCTTAGAATTTTGGATATAATATGAAATCAATAAATTCCTCTAATTTTATTTCTTCCTCAAATTCAGCAGAAAAATCATTCAATAAATCTTCGAACAAATTAATATTATAAAATATATTTTACTATTTTTCTATCTGATTCATTCTTTCCTAATTATTATTAGTATTTTAACTGTTGTGTTTCTTTTTATTTTTTTCAAAATTTTATAATAATTTAGTAAGTGCTCTTCTTATACTCTATCTAATCATTTTTTTTCATTTCTTTTAATCAATAAAATGATCACGATCATGATAAGATTCCAATTTTTTTTTATCATTTAAGGTTAGTTTTAATTTAAATTATCTCATCATTACTTTATTCAATTTATTTTTCTAAATCTTAGGATTTATAATGATATTCATTAAATATATAATAAAACTACTATTTCATCTTATTATATTTGAATCTATTTTTAAGATTACACATTATCAAAGTTTTCCTATTATTTTAATTCGATTGATCATTTAAATTATTTATTATATATATTTTATAGAATTTCCTAATCCTTCCCACTTGAATCTTTATTCATCTCATTCTGATATTAATATTACATATATTTTCATTCGTGATTATTTCATAAAATCAATAAATACCTTTATGAATTTTCATTTATATGCTAATTTTTTAATATTAAAATTTGAAATATGAATTAATCCAAAAATCTCTAATAAATATGATAATTCTAATTGATATTTAAATCTAATGCCTTATATTGAATAATCTATCTAAAATTAGAGGCCATCTGGAAAAATAGAAATAGCTCTGAAAATTAATAATTTATAAGTCATAACCAATTAATTTAAGATTCAATTTATCAATAACTAAAGTAAAATATACCTGAATTAATAAATTAGATCCTAATATAATGGAAAGAATCTTCATCCGAAAATTAAATGGAAATAAAAAAATCAATACTTCTATTCAGCTCTAAAAATATATTATGTCAATGCCAATTAAATTTATAAACCTAGAAATAAAACTATTATTTTAATGGTTTCATAAGAGTCCTTCTAATCATAGGATTTTGTATAAAAAATCCCTTTTCAATTCAAAAATTGGTATAAGAGAAATTTTTTTCTAAAATCTCAATTTGCTAGAAAAGCAAATAAATGAGTTATTTAAAAAATCAGATATATTAATTTAAGTAAGAAGTAAACATTACAATCAATTCAAAAACCTGATATTAATGCTTTGGAAGAAATAGATTAAATGTTAAACTGTGATGAATAAAGTAATTTAGAAGAATTATTATTGCATTAGGGTAATTTCAAAATATCAGGAATAAAAGCGCTATGCAAGAATTCTTGATATTTAAAAAAGAAGATTTTGAATGGAAGGGAGGGAGGGAAAAACTGCTTTATTAAAGATAAATCATATTACTCTTTATTATTCATTCTATGTTGGAGAAGAGGGAATATAGCAATATTTTAAGGATCGACTGTATTTTTTGGATACATTAATATTAATAAATGGGAACGATTCAATTATTAATAATTTATGCTTGGTTGCAAATAGCTAGCTTCAATTCTAACAAGTTCATTATCATTTATAATCAACTTAATACCCATTTAAATTTTTAGATAAAGGAGGAAATAAATTAATAAAAATAAAATAAGCTTGGACTAATTTTGTAAAAAGTTTTGTGTTTACTAACAACACTCCTTATTTAACAATATTAAATAGAGTCAAAAAATAATTACAGATTAGAAGAAGTTCATTAAAAATAAATCCTCAAATTATAAATTTAAGAATAAGAAAATTAATATTTCTGACAATCCTGCATTGTATCATAAAGGTTTATGTAGCTAATTTAAAATTCTTTAATTCATCCAAAAGTTGATTTAGAAGATTTTAATATGACTTTCACTATGATCTAAAATTAAGAAAAAGTTGGATTTATTTAATGAAATTGTAAAAGAAAGATGTTGCTTATCCTGATAAAAAGTATTACTTCATAAATTTTTATTTTATAATTAAATCTTTTAAGTTTAATAGTACTTTTTTAGTTTAAAAGATAAAAATGCAGATTATTAATCAAATTAACCTTTAAAT